GTTCCGTTGCATAATCTGCGTAACACCAACTATAAAATGGCAAAGAATGAGCAATAAAATTATAAATACGCAAATGCTTATTCCTTTGAAGGTAGGTCCACCAAAAGATTATGCCACATGACTGCGAGACAAATCTGTCCAGATACAAAAATCGATTGCGTATACAGATATTCGATCAAGTAATAATCGTGTAACCCTCAATCGATTGCGTAACACAGCAGATGTTTGATCAATACATACCACAGAATAAAACCCGTTAATTGTTGCCACAAATTCCAAATCCGATTGTCCAACTCCATGACATACTATTTTCTTTGTGAAAAGTTTTTTCGTCGTGCATTGCATCGCTCGATACGTTAGTGTTCGAGGTCTTAAGGCGCTCAAGGCATTGAATATAGAAAAAAAATTATACCCAGATCGTTCTCGAGAAGAAATAGACGAGAATATTAATAAATATCCTGTAATGGTTATATTATCGAACAAGCGCACTTGCACACGGTTCTATTGGTAGATGAATAAATTTTCTCCACCAATTACTAAGATAGTAAACCTGACGTTGTTAAGAAATTATCCAATGAGGGCAAAAACGGCTGGGCGCAAACAGTTTAAAAAGATATTCATTAAAAAGGACTCTCGCAAAGAGTCAATATATCTTTATTGGATTTTTTGTAAAACGTCATATAAAAAAGTCTAACGTCGACGCTCTTTCGCTGTTTCAAGCGGGTCCTTTAAGAGATCGACTTCATCTATTATGCCTTCTGCATCTACTACTGTCCGAATGTCATCTTCTGTAATATTGTAATTTTTTATCGAGTGGGACTTTGTAAAATCTTCTGTTGAGTGTAACTTCTTTGTAAAACTTGAAACAATTTTGCCCAAGATATGTCTATCGATGATATAAACTTTCTTGTTCGGTTCATTGTAATTACCCTCTCTCAGATTTCTTTCGACAGTTTCGCGTGTCTCGTTTTTAAGCATGTCAGTTGCTTCTTCTTCTGTTATATCCTCACTTTGCTTTAGGTTATTGATATGTGTCCGGGAATTTGTCCGAACAAGGAAGGTAGGTATTTTCCATATTTTACATGAATTGAGGATTTGCATATCGGTCTCCATGATTCGGTCTTTCCAACAAATGATAATAAAGTCAAAAACAAAAAGCCCTTTATCAATGACATACTGCTCTACTCTATTGGCTTGTGTGCCAGCACCTGGAATATCATACCATACAAATTTGTTGAGTACTGAATTTGTGTCTGGATGTCGGCCTATCTTCGTGGTTGTCTCAGCAACGCCGACTTTGGCCGCACCTTTATCTTTATCTTTACAACCTCGGAGAGCATTGATTAAAGAAGACTTCCCAGTACCAGCATGTCCAGCAACAGCGAAATGGTAAAGAAGGCCGTCAGGGTCTTTGAGCATAGACTTAGCCTCTTCATATTGCTCTTTGGTCGGCTTCAACTCTGCAGGAATGCTTTCGATCCAAGCAGCTTGCTCTTCCGCCAATTTCAACTCTTCACGAAGACGCCCTATCTCTGCAGCTCGTGCCTCTTCCACCTTTGTCAACCTCTCGCTAAGGTCCTTAATTTCGGCAGCTCGCGCCTCTTCTAAGTTTTTCAACTTTTTTCTAAGGCTCTCGATTTGGGCATTTTGCTGTCCCGTCTTTCTCAACTTTTCTGCCTTGTCGTCTACAATGGTGTTGATCACTCTGACCGTACTGTTCTGTCGGCGTGGAGCAACAACAGCCTTGATAATAGCTGCGATAGATCGCTGCGGGTCCTACGAGAAGAAATACGTAAACCATTACTTTCAAACGGAGAATTGATCCCGGTTAAATAAAGGGTTATATATTACAACTGGAAATGCGAATCATTCAAAAAGCAACATATACGGAAGCTTCATATGAAAAGTCCTGCCTTGCTGATCATTCGCTGATCACTTTCATTTAGTTAACAAAGCAAGCTACACACGTACGTACATACTTCAAAAGCTGTACTAGAAAAAATACACGTTTAGACAGACTCATGGTTTGCATAGGTAAACTATTTTTGTGAAATATTTCTTTAACGTATCTCTATTTTCTTGTAGGGCAGGTATTAAAGTATGCATAGATGCAGAGTTGGCTCGTTTCGATCAAAGCCTGTTTTGTTGAAAGTGATCGGCAAATGATCAGTATGTTTGTGACACTACCAATTATAATATCCAAGCCGCAAGTTATATATATTAGGACAGATACTAATACGTGTGGAAGTCTATCATTATGGATTAAAATTAAGCAACTTTACATATAGACTTGTGCTTTATTGCTAAAATAACAGCTCTCAATATTAAGCGAAACTATGTTTGGGTACTGTCGTAAAATATTCCACACATGAGAGTGGACGTAATTAACTTTGCTGATTAATTCAACGAACGTCTGCACATAGGTTAGTTTCAAAGCTTATCGGTTGGGGGAGGTTAAGCTAAACGTATTGTAAAGAATTGAATAATAATCCTCTTACAATTCCGTTTACGGTCAATGTTTACACTTTTACGAACAACAGAGAAACTTTACTGAGAAATAAATAGAGAATTCACATTATCTGCACTGCTGACGATAAACGCTCGTTAAAAACTGCTTAACTAACTATCGACTGTTTCACTAACCTGACTGAATTTTTGATAAATTGACATGTCTGCTGCGTAATTACTGTAAAGTGACAAAATTTTCTGTCATAACTGCGTATATAAAATCAACTAATATTCGCTATGCAACCAAATTTCATACAGAGGTATTGTGGAAAACTATGTAATCGGAATGGTAGTGGAAAATGTGGACGAAAGTAATGCTTGATATTACACTCCTATCAATCAAATTTCGGAGATGTTCACCACTAATTAAAAAAAAAACTATGTTCCAGCCAACAAATAACTGCTAAATGTCGTCATCGGCAACCAGCGTTAAAATTTCACTCACTAACTACTCTGGTTAGTATGCTCACAATTTGGAATGTCTTGTCTTTAGACATAATAATAATCCGTCTCAACATTTCTTTCTATAGATCATAGATGCATTTTCTCTTCCCAATAAATGCAATTTTATGAGTTTTTACTCTCTTCCTCTACAGGTAAATAGATAGATAAAAAAGACACATCTTAAATTGGGCTTCAGCAACGCTTTTATGTGAATAAAAAAATTCTCGCGAGTAGGGCAATAATTTTGCGTTGTCCAGTCATCTTTTGCTGAATGTTCTGTAATTTGAAATTCGTTTATTTGACGATGACATGCAAACTCACGAATGGATATTACTGAGAACTATACATAACAAATGTTTTTAGTATTGTTCTCTTGACCTTTTGTATATATCGACAGACTCGATAAGTCGGTTTGGCCTCACTCGTGTCAAACCTTTTTTTTTTTCAATATTTAAAATCTTTTGGTCAACTTTCTTTCACGTCTATGATATGAAAGCGATAGTATCAGTAACAAATATACCACGTACATTTGGGACTTGTTTCAGTTCTGGACTGAGTGACTGGGTCTGAACTGAGACAGGTCCTGAACTCAGACACAACACCAAAGAAAAATATCTCAAAGTGCCATAATTAATGACGTCGCATCACTTGTTTTTGTGAAATATAAAATTCAATTGCTATTTTCCTTGCAATTAAATGCGTTTATATTTGTGTTTCATGAAAACTTTGTATGAGGAAGTCTTGTAGTTATTATTGGAATAGACCAATGTAAAATTTTTTTTTACATCTTATCATTATTCACTGTAGAGTCAGTTAAGAACCAAATGTGTTGCATCTAATGTGAACAGTCTCGTCACTGTCATCCTATTATAAAGTCTGCATAACAATCTTTTTTAAGTCAGTTATCAGGTGACTAAGTTTACTTTTTTGATACTACTTTACGTTTGCAGCAACAAAAATAAGAATAAAACATACAAATACCAAAATGTATACACTACCCTACAATAAATTACGGGATTTCTTGTCAAACACATAGTAAAACATATGAAATTTTTATTTTTTAAAGAGCTTTATTGCACGTATTTACTATGTAAGTCACAACAATTTTTGTACTGATTTGAAGATAATTGACTGTACTTTTCGAGAGAAATGGTATATTTAGGCCCGTCATTGTTCCAAAATTGCAGTTCAACGAAGTGACAGTATCTACAGTATGTTACAATATGAAAATCTATGAAAAACATATGTGTAATGTAAACAGCGTCATTTATCGAACTGCAGCATCAGAATAATGACGGGCCTAAATATACCATTTCTTTCGAAAAGGACAGTCAAATCGGTACAAAAATCGTTGTGACTTACATAGTAAATACATGCAATAGAGCTCTTTAAAAAATAAAAATTTCAATATGTTTTACTATGTGTTTGACAAGAAATCCCGTAATTTATTGTAGGGTAGTGTATAGGGACCATAAGTAAAAAGTATTGAATATTATACTTCCATTAAATATGAAGCAATACATTCCTTGGCGATAGTTGCAATTATGGTTGCTCAAAATGTTTCCAAGAGTGAATTATGTAAAACGTTCGAGTTCTCTATGATACTAATACTAAATCTTAATTTACTACTACATGTTTAACGGTTCAACTGAAAGTAATGAATGGTGGAAAAATAACATCAGATTACAAAAGATTCTCTTACTAAGATCGAATTTAAATTGGCCATTCATGAGTTTCCGAATTCTCAATTGCACTCGGTCTTTTCATAAACAGTAGTCATATCATCAAACTTATTCAATAAATTAAGAATTTTCGTAAAAATAAATAAATATATCTTTATTGGATGTGTTATGAGACATTGTAAAAGAATTAGTGACCATTATTATCAATTCCTGAAACTACTTTCGACGGTCTTTAGCTGTTTTAAGTAAATCTCTTAAAAGATTGATTTCGCTTTCTGCATTTACTGTTATGCGAACATTACCTTCATTAATTATAATACGATAATCTTCTATCGAAAGCAACTTTGTAAAATCTTCTATCGAATGCAACTCAGTAAAATCTTCTAAATCTTTTATGGAGTTTAACGCCTGTGTAGCACTTGAAATAATGTTGCCCAAGATATGTCTATCAATGATATAAACCTTCTTGTTCGGTTCATTATAATTGCCGTCTTTGAGATTTTTTTCGACAGTTGCGCGTGTCTTAACTTTAAGCTCTTCGATTGCTTCTTTCTCTGTAAGTTTGTTGCTTAGCATTAGGTTACGGATTTGTGTCCGAGAATTTGTGCGAACAAGGAAGGTAGGTATGTTCCACGTTTTACAAGAATTGAGGATTTGCATATCGATCTCCGTGATTCGGTCTTTCCAACAGATAATAATAAAGTCAAAAATAAAAAGCTTTTTATTATTGAAATACTGCCACTGCTTGTTTGTTTGTGTGCCAGCACCTGGAATATCATACCATACAAACTTATTTAATGCCGAGCTTCCGTCTGGATATCGATTTACGTCCACAGTTGCTTCAACAATGTCAACTTTAGCCGCATCGTCATCTGTATCGTTACAACCTCGGAGAGCATTGATTAAAGAAGATTTCCCAGTGCCAGTATATCCGGCAACAGCGAAATGATAAAAATGGCCGTCAGGGTCCTTGAGCATAGACTTAGCCTCTTCAAATTGCTCTTTGGTTGGCGTTATCTCTGGAGGAATGCTTTGGATCCAGGCAGCTTGCTCTTTCGCCATGTTCAACTCTTTACGAAGACTCTCAATCTCGGCAGCTCGTGCCTCTTCCGTCTTTTTCAATCTTTCGCTAAGGGCCTCAATCTCAGCAGTTCGCGCATCCTTCATCTTTTCCAACTCTTCACGAAGACCCTTAATTTCGGAAGTTCGCGCTTTTTCTACCTTTTTCAACTTTTGTTTAAGGTCCTCAATTTCGGCATTTTTCTGTCCCGTTTTTTCGTCTATCATTACTTCCATTGTTCTGACCGTACGGTTTCGCTGGCGTGGAGCAAAGGCGGCCGTGAAGATGGCTACGGCAACCGCTCCTACTGCGGTTCCTATACCGATAAGTATGTCAGTATCCATCAATACTTTAAAACGGAGAAATAACCGCGGTTGAATAAAGACATTACGAACTAGAAAATGCGAATCATTTAAAAAGACCGCGTGTGAATGGACCCAAAATTTCACATAGGAAGCTTCATATGAAAAGTCGATCATTTGCTGATTACTTTCAATAATGCTTTAGACGATATTGTAACAATGTCCAGTATAATAATAAGTCTAAAAACAGACTTTGAACAAAACAAGCTACGCTCATAAAATACATGCTTCAAAACTTGCACTAAAACACATTTGTTTCCTTGACCATCATATGCAAAGCTATTTTTAGAAATATTTTTTATCAAAATCAAATACTGTAAGTATCTCTATACTTTTGGGTCTTTTGAGTCCATCCTTAAAGTTCAGAAACCCACATATACTTTTCTACGTACAATATTATCAACACTACGCCAAATTTCAAAAAAAAAAAAAGTCGAAAATTGATTCTCAAAAATTTTACATTAAAATAGAAAAAAAAAAGTCTAATCTGATTGACGTCACAATAAATACGTCGTATATCATATGATTTCCGAAATGACGCAAACGATATACAACAAATATATAATTTTTCCAAATTAGCACAGATACGTGTAAACTTGTTCAAAAGTCTATAGTTATGGATTCAAAAACCCTTTTGACAAAGCTATTTTACATATAAACTTGTACTTTGTTACTGAAATAAGAGTCTCAAAATTTAAACGAACTATTGTCTAGGAAATCGTACCCCACTAATTTTAATTTCCGACACCCTCAAATGAGAGTAGACAATAACTTTGCTGATTAATTCAACGAAAATCTTATCGGTTGGGGAACTTCTAACTAACTCGTTATTATTATTATTATTATTAAAGAACTGAATGATAAATTTCCGTTTATCGAGAAATGCGGGAAAGCGTCTTACACTTTTACGAACGACAGAGAAATTTCGCTGGGAAATAAACAATGCAATAATAATAATTACGTGTAATTATTAGAATATTGTGAACTATTCTAAATAAGGATTATTATGTTTGCATGAGCTAAACTAAATTAAACGTGTTCGTGCAGGTTTGTTATATTACTGTTTAATATAAAAGTCCGTATAATAATTAAGGCGAAAATCTGTTACATAGACAGTCTGTTGTATCGACTTTTACTGTCTATAGATAAGGGCAGTCTTTTGATAAGTCAGTTTTGGCTTGTTCGGTCAAAAATTTTTGGTTCTTTTTTCAACACATCTCTCAGCCCATAAGCGGATATCAGGTAATTTTAGAGAGTATAAGTACTATAGGCGCTTTCCGTTTGATTAGCAAGTAATGTACACAAAAACTGTGAGAAAACTGCGACCGTAAATAAGGATCGACTGTCACTAAGTATGAATCGCCAGTCAATGACATTGAGAAGTGACACGGTTTAATCTGATAAAAGTCGATAACTTACCGGTGTTGAAAATAAGCAAACTGAAATTATACCTATGGGTTATCGGTTGTAACCAATAATGTTCACAATCTACACCACAATAAAAGACAGTTGCTTTGTTAATCGTTACCAGAACTCCGTCATAGCAAGAGTTTTTATACAAATTGTGACCAAAAAAAATTCTTTTATAATAATAACGCAATTTTGTTGTAACGAGATTCATTATAATGAGCTCTGACTGTACTATAATTGCAGTCGTGCAAGAAGCTCCTGAGAAGGTGATGACAAGAACAAGATTTTGATGGTATGTAATAAAGTAGATTATTAAAAATTTAAAAGGAAAAACTGATACTGAGCAAACGAAGTCTTTAATACAAATGACATATATTTATTTAGAATGACGTGGTTTAATTTGCATTTTTATTAATTAATATTATTCACTCCATCAGTCGTGTGTGGTCGATAAATTAGTTCTCTCGATGTGACAGACTTATCCATGTAGTTGCAAAGAGATAACGTGAAGTTGAATTATAGTCTTATGATTCAGACTACACACCGAAAGTACTACGTGAAGTGAAGGTACTGTATGAGGGAGGTATTTTGAACACCTTTAAGTAACAAATGTTGTACGTATCATCGGGGTATGGTAACTGCCGCTTTTGCATCAGCTCATTAAAATATGTTATATGCTTCTTCTCAAGGGCAGGATTTCAAAAAAGTTACAGCTAACACGAGATGTAGCAAAGAATAATTTAAAGCATTTGAATAAATACTTGAGCGTGTCTTTTGTTACGATCTGTCTTGGAAAGAAGAATATCATAGAATAAGGCGAAAACCAAAAAGGCTGTTGTATCAAGTAAGACGTCAATTTTTAAAGTGTTGTGAAACTTCACTTATTATATTACCATCCCAACTCCTTTTTACAGCGAAAATTACACGAAATCATAGATGACAGTATTCAAGAAAGATCGTGATCATAATTCTCGGTTCGCTTAGTGTAAATAGAAAGACGATGGCTTAATTAAGCAATAGAATAAATAGAGAAATGGGTACATAAATAATAGGCTATTCCTTTGTAATGGTTATTCCTCGTTTTCTAATTACTGAATTATGCGTTGGTACTATTAATAATAACGAAAAGAGGAATGAATAAGTAAGACAAAAAAAAACAAGCAAATATTGTTACCTCGTGCGCTGTCACATTATTCTTGAATCTTCATTCGTTATTTAATTATAAAATATAATCATTACTATCTTCGCTTGCCTCAGCTCACATTACATCTGTTACGAATTTTCCCTTAGCACTGTAGTTTGTGCATATATAACTACAAGTGCGTCTTGACATACCGACATGCTTTAAGATCATTACAGGAACTAAATAGGTATCAATCTTTATTCTACCAGCAGTTAGTATTATGGATTGCCGTCCCAACAGCAAAATGGAGCGCGAAGAACGAAAAAAGAGACCTACACCCGTCAAAAATAGCGGATAGTTGCTATAAATATTTTATATGTTATCAATAAGTTGTTATACCTGTCATGTCAATTTTCTGTTTACACGATATCTGTCGATTTAACAAGATTGTCGTTATATGGGGCATGCTGCAACAAAACCAGACAAAGTGAACATTCTGTTATGTGACATAAATGAGAGGCTGATTGTGATGTGGCTGTAAAATTGACCAGTGTGACTGATGACGTTTGAAAAGTAATAATGTGCACATGGCTTATTAATTTTAATGCTCCCATTATCATACCAGAAGGTGAGGAATATAAACCATAACAGGAGTAATATAGGGTTACTCTATATATAAAATATTAATATGAAACTAATTTATATCAAATCCACTATGGAACCAAAGTATTAGAAGTATTAATTACTTCCTTAATTTCGATCAAGGTCATCTCTTATTTTCTTTAACTTCAATTTGAGCAATGTGTTGAGTCTGCTGTTTTCTTAAGAATTCAACCTCACTTTCA